GTTGCCGGCGTGCGCCAGCTGATGTCCGACGCACCTTTCTTGTGCCACCGATCGGTAACACGATCGTACGCTTCCACGTGCACACGCAGTGCCGCATCCCCCGTTTCTCCACCTAAAGCATGTATGTGCAACGACAATTATGTAGTGGGGCCATGGGAACAAAGTGCTGAGGGAAGTCATGTTCTTCAGTAGGTTTCTTAGGGTAAGTATATGTTTCTTCACGAGTAAGTATGTGTTACACACACTGATCACGTACCGGTAACATAAATCAAACCGCTGGGCGCCACACAGGCACGACAACCACTGCGTCCAGTGGGCATGTCGGCCAGTCGGCTCCAGGCATTCGCTGCGGGATCGTAGGAGAACACAGTTGGACACCCCGCCGCGTTGTACCCGCCGAAAGCGTACAGTCGACCCTCACAGGCCACCATCGCCAAGTCGCTCAATCCAACGGGCAGCGCGGCGACGGCGCTCCAGGAGTCGCTCACGGGATCGTACGTCTCCACGGAGGACAGGGCTGCTTCCGATCCTTCCACACCATACGGATCAAAACCGCCAGCCGCGTAGACGCGCCCATTCAGGGACGCCAGCGCTCCCGCCTGGCGTAGTGTCGAGACTTGGGCCGTCTCGCGCCATTCGTGGCACAAGCCCGTGTAGCGGCTGTTGCGCCGCACGCGGCCGACGCAGTGCATGCTGTTGATCAGGATGCAACCGGGATCCAGCAGCACCGCGGAGCAGCACTCGACGAGTATTCGCAGATCCCGCAGGCGCCACACGGCCGGGATCTACGGGCAGAACACGTCCACGCTAGCTTCCTCGCTGCCCACCGGATCCTGACAGGTGCCGCCCAGGCATATGATCACTTCCAGAGCTCCTGATACGAAAGACAATAGTTTTACAAGAAACTCCCATGGTATATCGCACGAACGAACGATGGATCTTTACCATATGAAGGTCGGGGGTTGGTGTTCGGCGTCGTCTCACCGGTCGTCTGACTCGGGCACGGTGGCGAAACCTTCAGTGCGCTGGTGAGGATCATCGAGTAATCCTGTCGGCACTGCTCGCTCAGGAAGGCCACACGGACCACCTGCAGGACGGCGGCTGCGTCTTCCAAGCGTTCCGGACGGTCGTAATCCAACCAGCGCAGCACCGCCTGCAACACCTGATCTTCACTGAAGACGTCCACGTTATCCGATGCGAGCAGTGTAATCAGCTGCCAACACAAGTTAAGTAAAAGCACATATCAACAGCACCGCCGAGCAGATGGATCAATTCAATAGTTCAGAACATTCTTTCCGTCAAATTTTATTTTTATGTCACCTGTTGCGCGTCCAGCTCTAAAAAATCTTGGCTCTCTGCCACCGGCAGGAAGTGGAGAAGGGTTAATTCCAGCGCTGCCGCGGCCAGACGAGGATGGTGGTGGTTGGAGGCTAGAGTGTGAACGGCCAGGTAGTTGGACACGCGCATGTGTTGCTCGACGTAGTCCCAGCACAGCAACTCTAGCGAACCCATCTGCAGGAACTGCGCGGCAATCACGATGCGCTCCACGTTGTTGTCGTTCAGGTCCACAATCAAGGTGTAGGCGTATTTGACCAACCTACCCGTTAAAATTACAGTTCTTCCTTGAAGTTCCTTCATCTTTAAAACTGGAAAAAAGGCAAGCTGCGGAGTACTCACTCGTTCAATGTGCGACTGTCGATGTTGCGCAGCTGAAAGACAGGCTCAGAAGAGTCCTTCCAGCCCTGCGTGAAGACGGCCCGAAAGTAGGCGCTGTGCACGCTGAGGACATTGCGATGACAGGGAATGCCCACTGCGGACTCTTCGCAGCCCTTCACCACCACATCGCACAGGGTTCCTGTCGACTGCTGTTCACGCAGTCCGCGCAGGAACTCAACCAGACAACGGTGAGGAGGATGATCCACAGGACTGCTTGGATTCGACATCGTTACAAATGGCACAGCAGACAGTCAGAGATACAGAACGCTTAAATCGCAATGAAGTTTTCTATCACTAGGAACATGCAGTACAGACTACAGAATATGCAGTTCTGCTAAATCAGAAAATTCAAAATACTGTATGTACAATTCAAATGTGTAACTGTGGACTTCAAGCTTGTCCTGACGTGAGTAGTACGGTACAATCCGTACCTGCCACTAACTGCCAGCTGGAGGGGCAGCCAAGCTCAGACAGTCGTTGGGGAACTAACGGATTTCGCAGATATACGGCCGATATTCTTTGGAGGTAAATTACTGGCTTTGCGAAAGAAAGACGGCGGGCTGCGCCCTATAGCGGTAGGACTGTCGATGCGTCGTCTACTTGCCAAAATCATCTGCAGCAGAATAGCGGACCGGGCAACCGCCTTGCTCACTCCTCAGCAGTCTGGCTTCAACGTACGGGGCGGAGCCGAAGCCATCGTCCACGCAGCCAGGCATTTTGTCCAGTCAAAACCGGAGAGCATTAAAGCACTAGTAAAAATCGACTTTCGCAATGCATTCAATACCGTATCTCGTGAAGTGGTTCTGGATGCTGTACATACACACTTTCCCGAATACGATGATTTCTTTTGGTCGGCGTATGGACATCATTCTTCCTTGTTCATTGATGGAATGGTGATGTCGTCTGAGTCTGGGGTGCAACAAGGCGACCCGTTGGGACCGCTGCTGTTTTGTCTGGCTTTGCTCCGAGTAATTGCCACGCTGGATACCGAGCTTAATGCCTGGTACCTAGACGACGGAACCCTGGGCGGAACGCCGGCGACTGTTGCAGAAAACTTCAGACGAGTCATCGAAAGCGCACATGCCATTGGACTGGACATAAACGAGGCTAAATGTGAACTTTTTGTATCGGGAGGCACCGAAATTGAACGGCAAGCAGTGGTAGATGAATTTGTTTCGCGCCACCCACAACTCCGCGTGGTGTCAAGCTCAACTCTAACCTTGCTAGGCGCCCCGGTGCTGGATAATGCAATTGGCGAAACTCTTTCCGAGAAATCAAGCGCCATGAAGACAGCCTGCGAACGGTTAGAACTTCTTCCTCGCCACCATGCACTGTATCTACAGTAATCTACTTAGACACTGCTTGGGTGCCCCGAAGATAATATATGTGCTCAGATGCTGCAATGCCTGGAAAGATTCGAAATTGTTTTATCAAATCGACGAGTCACTGCGCTCATGTTTTCAAGAACTCAGTAACGTCCGGGTAAACCATGATGACTATCCATGCTGGCGACAAGCGACACTTCCGGTCAGTCGAGGAGGTATTGGCATACGTCGTGCGGAGGAATTAGCACTTCCAGCCTACTTGGCTTCGATTCATTCCGTATCTGATTTATTGTCATCGATGCTTCCTCACCTTCCGGCAGTTAATACTTCAGAAGCAGTGGAATTGTGGAAAACCAAAGCCCGCGTAGCAGAAGTTCCAGAAGTTGGTTTCCGGAAGCTCCAAAAGACATGGGACTTGCCGCTTTGTAATGTGTCGGCTTCTGTTTTATTGGATCTGTTTCGGGGTGACGTCGTTAACACAGCTTGTTTTCTCGCTCAGTCTCGACCCGAATCCGGTATTTGGTTGAATGCGCTTCCCTCAGCCCACATCGGTAACCTCCTCGACGATGAGACGATTAAAATCTCTATTGGTCTTTGTCTTGGAGCGGATATTTGTGAGCCCATAACTGTACCAAATGCCAGAAGCGCGTTGACAAGTTAGGACACCATGGCTTATCGTGCAGCTACTCGGCCGGTAGGCACGCGCGCCATGGAGGTTTAAACAGCATCGTATGTCGTGCGTGTGTTTCAGCCGGTGTTCCCGCTAAGCTGGAACCACGCGGTACGTCCTCTACAACAGATCAACGCCCTGACGGTTGTACAACCTTCGCCTGGAAAAGAGGAATGTGTCTGGCCTGGGATGTGACGTGCGTTGACACAATGGCCTTTTCCCATCTCTTATCGACGTCGGTTTCGGCTGGAGCTGCTGCTGTACAAGCCGAAGATAAGAAGTCCCGACGGTATGCGTATCTGCTAGGGCGTTATATCTTTTCTCCCATCGCCTTTGAAACGATGGGCCCCTGGGGCCCGTCGGCTATCGCCATCGTGAAGGAGTTGGGCAAAAGACTTCAAGAGCATACAGGAGAGCGTCGATCGCATGAGTTTTCACGACAACGAATATCGCTGGAGATTCAGCGTGGAAATGCAGCATCTATCCTTGGCACAATGGACGGAGTGGATAGTTTAAATGAAGTTTTGCTGTTGTGAATAAGATAGCGTTTTTCTTTCTTTCTTACCTGAACTGTGCGATTATTATTAATAAAGTATTCACTCACGGATTTCGTTGAACCTTTCAAGTTTTAACGATAGCCGTTAGTTCCGTGATGCATGGGGAAAAGTACTCATAATCTCGTTTTGCCGGAAGCATTTGCAAATTCTGATTGTCTCGCATTCTTATTGACTTTCCAGGGTGTTGTGTGGTGGCTACGCGCAACAAATACCAATTGCTGCGCGTAGTAATATCACATAATGGTGGAGGTCAATTACATTTGGGTAAGCGTTGCGCGTCGGGTAACGGGGAAACGCGTAAAAAATGTGACGTAACAGCGCGTAAACAAGTAAACATTCTGATTCGCAGTCACAAAATCTGGGATGGGTTTTCAGCTTACTTGTCCGCGTAAGCGTTGCGCTTCGACGTCGAAGCGCAACCATTACCCAAACTACGAGTAACTCGTAACTCTCCTGCACAGATCGAAAAAATTTGTTTGTGTTTGGACCAAAAGTAAATCCAACGACCCAGAGTCACATTCCAAAATTCTTCATTGACTTTTTTGACGTAATACCACATTTACCACATTACAGCATTAAAAATGAGGTTTTCAGTTCCACTTCGGTGTTCAATTTCTTTCTCGGCACGGAAGCGTACTCGACTTACGATTGGACGATAATTTTTTCGCTGAGTCATGGATAGTCTTTTACGCGTTTCTCCGTTACCCGACGCGCATCAGTTACCCAAATGTAATTGACCTCTACCAATATGTGATAGCGATTGGATACTCGGATTCCTCACATATTCGACCGATGGCGCCAGAGCGATGCAGTGGGCTGTGCAAGATCTGGAACAAAGATTAATCCCGCTTCCGGCTTACTCCTGGATATGATCCAAGTAAAAGATAACACCACGCGCTACAACTTTCGGAAGCCGGCCGGATCGATGCTAAGAAAGTTATCGCGTACACTCGACTATGGAAATGCGACTAATACGTCTTCTCCTTAAAAGTTAAATCTAAAATTCCAGAAGCCGTCAAGATGGGGAAATACAAGTCGCTTACTGATCGATGTTATTTTGTCGCCATTGCGTGCGAGACATTTGGTACTTATTGCGATGCTGCAGTCGTTTTGTTAAAGGAGATTGGTAAAAAAACTGTTTACCAGAACAGGCGAGACTCGTACCACTTGTTTTCTTTTCAGCGTTTAAGTTTGGAGATAATACATGGTAATGCTATGAGTGTGTAGTGCACAGTCCCGAACCCTTCTCATGTTAACTAGGCAAATTCTTCATTAAATTTTGATCGTAGTCCGTAGATACCGAGTGGTACTCACTACTCTATGATGTGCATATTGATAAACAAATTGTGTATGGATTTGTGTGTATGGTCTGTAATCACTCTGTATGCACTAGATGTATTTAGATTTATCTGTGTACATTGATACGACTGCATCGAAAGTAGTACGCCTGTAACCGACCGAAACGTCCGAACGACCAAGACGTCCGGCGGACGTTTTGGTCGTTAAACCGACCAAACCGTCCGGGGGCCAAAAAAACGTCCGCCGTAAATTTTGCCCACCCGAAATTTTTTTGCGTTCTCAATGCAACCTAAACCTTCTGAAAGAGCCTGCCCGGACACTTTGGTCGGAGTGTTAGCCGGACATGGTCGGAGATATTCAGGCCCGACATTTTGGTTGGAGACATTAGGCCGACATTTGGTCGGGAGCATTATTTCAACCAGGACTCCAGGTTCAAAGTGTCCGGGCCTAAATAGTGCTGCGACCAAAGTGTCCGGGCTGAATACTGCTCCGACTAAAGTGTCCGGGCCTAAATAGTGCTCCAACCAAAGTGTCCGGGCCTAGTTAGTGCTCCGACCAAAATGTCCGGGCTGAATACTGCTCCGACTAAAGTGTCCGGGCCTAAATAGTGCTCCAACCAAAGTGTCCGGGCCTAGTTAGTGCTCCGACCAAAATGTCCGGGCTGAAAACTGCTCCGACTAAAGTGTCCGGGCCTAAATAGTGCTCCAACCAAAGTGTCCGGGCCTAGTTAGTGCTCCGACCAAAAATGTCCGGGCTGAATACTGCTCCGGCTAAAGTGTCCGGGCCTAAATAGTGCTCCAACCAAAGTGTCTGGCCTAGTTAGTGCTCCGACCAAAATGTCCGGGCTGAATACTGCTCCGACTAAAGTGTCCGGGGCCTAAATAGTGCTCCAACCAAAGTGTCCGGGCCTAGTTAGTGTCTGACCAAAATGTCCGGGCTGAATACTGCTCCGACTAAAGTGTCCGGGCCTAAATAGTGCTCCAACCAAAGTGTCCGGGCCTAAATAGTGCTCCAACCAAAGTGTCCGGGCCTAGTTAGTGCTCCGACCAAATGTCCGGGCTGAATACTGTCTGACTAAAGTGTCCGGGCCTAAATAGTGCTCCAACCAAAGTGTCCGGGCCTAGTTAGTGCTCCGACCAAAATGTCCGGGCTGAATACTGCTCCGGCTAAAGTGTCCGGGCCTAAATAGTGCTCCAACCAAAGTGTCCGGGCCTAGTTAGTGCTCCGACCAAAATGTCCGGGCTGAATACTGCTCCGACTAAAGTGTCCGGGCCTAAATAGTGCTCCAACCAAAGTGTCCGGGCCTAGTTAGTGTCTGACCAAAATGTCCGGGCTGAATACTGCTCCGACTAAAGTGTCCGGGCCTAAATAGTGCTCCAACCAAAGTGTCCGGGCCTAGTTAGTGCTCCGACCAAAATGTCCGGGCTGAATACTGCTCCGGCTAAAGTGTCCGGGCCTAAATAGTGCTCCAACCAAAGTGTCCGGGCCTAGTTAGTGCTCCGACCAAAATGTCCGGGCTGAAATACTGCTCCGACCAAATGTCCGGACCTAAATAGTGCTCCAACCAAAGTGTCCGGGCGGAAAAAGCTTTCAGAAGGTTTAGGTTGCATTGAGAACGCAAAAAATTTTGGGTGGGCAAAATTTACGGCGGACGTTTTTTTGGCCCCCAGACGGTTTGGTCGGTTTAACGACCAAAACGTCCGCCGGACGTCTTGGTCGTCCGGACGTTTTGGTCGGTTACATACGCCACCCGTTATTACAGCGGTTGGTAAGGTTTGAAATCTAGTTTTTTTGTCTATGGGTTCTTTATGGCCAAATAAAGTTAATAACACTTGATACGCTTACACTATCCGTAAGGCGTAATGAATATCGGGTTTTAGCCACTTTAATAATACTCAGCTAAGAACTAACAAATAACAAGTAAACATGAGCTTATATAACGGCCTAAGCCGCAAATAACAGGACATCCAGGGAAACGACCTAATATCAGACAATCACTCATTGTCAGTACATCTGGCTCACAAGGGCATGAGAAAGCAGTACATTGTCAGTACATCTGGCCCATGCAAACAATAAACGCACACATGACCATAGGTACATGACCATAGGGAAAAACATATGACCATAGGTTACATTACTACATGAGTAATCCGGTTATGTAACATTGCCCCTTCCCAGACGTCGCAGGTCCTCAAGACGTTAAGTCCGGTTATTCGTACGGTGCAGCGGAATGAAAATCCGTCCCTCCTCCTTATCCGGTGGGTTAATCGCTTCATAGCCGGGATCCTCGGGAGCGCTGACGTATGTCACCGGTTCCGCTACCACAGTCGAACGTCGATGTCTCCGTTCTGTCAAGCGATTCGAAATCCGCTTTCCGCACCCAGCTATCGGTCCACGACACTGAAATATGACCAGCACAATCAGCACTAGCACTACGACCGTAGTGATCGACCCGAACATCGTTTTGAACCAACGTATCTTAGACATTAGGTCAGGTACACTTGCTGACTGCTGTACGTTCTGGACGAACGATTCCACGTTCTCCACTCCGTTATGTTCCATCACACCGGCCAACTGGCCCAGTAATTGGAACGTCATCGCATGCTCCTTCTCGGCGGCTGCTTCCAGCAAAGCCCCAGAAAGGTCGACAGTCTCCTGGAAAGGCGCGAGTAACAGCTGTCGGTCAGCATACTGCACCGGCTGCACTGGTCGCCAATCTCCGTCTCTCCAGACGTGGGGAATTCCACGGAAGTTCACCGTATGCGATTGCCAGTAGCATTCTTGCCACTTAATCGCCGTGAATCCGTCGCGAGAAATCGTAAAGTTTCCCGAACGAGGTTGTACGCCGCAGTAAACGGTGTTCTGCGCTTCGAACGTCAGGTTAAACGGTCGGCACTGACGTAAAATGCCCATGCTCCCGAAGCTCTCCAAGCTTTGACACTCTGTAAAGTGCATAGCACGCGCAGCCAAAATCCCGCTCACTTTCGACAGTGAATGAAGATTTTCGATTTTAAGTCTACTTAACCGACAGTCGACGGCGTTAATAGCTTCCGCAATGTGGTTCTCCTGCTCCACCACCGAGTCCATGATCCACTGTAGATGCTCGGGTAGGTACTGTTGTAGCGTCATCGGGGTTCAGTGGTTGCGCCTTCCGCCTCCGGCGTCTTTCTTCCGACAGTTGTTGTAGCCACTGTCACGGGCAACGGCATTACGGTGCGCGATGATCCCGACGGAAATCCGGGATGTGTTCCACCCGCGAATCCCAGCAAGTTCCTTTTGCCTCTAAATGCCGAATCTTTTCCTCCCCCTCCCGCGACACTGCCTCCGGCGGTGTAGTTGAAATCCTGGAACAGGATCTTCTCCGCACGCGTCAGCACCACCAACAGCATACTCGTTTCTCCGACCACACGGAATGCCTTTGTTCCGGTCTGTCCGCACAAGCGCGCCATTGCGCCTAGAACAAAATCCATTTGCCGCGCAGTATCGCGGATTCGCATCACACCGTTGGTATCGTTATACAATTGACCGACTCGCCTGGTCAGCCGAGCCGTCTCGCACGGTCTCTGCGTTTGCGAAATGTCGTTCCATACCACGGTCCGGTGTGCCAGAATCGCGTAGCCTACGGTGCGATCCGTCGCTACCTCACTGACGATAGTCATAATTGGGCACGTTTTGCACTCCTGCTCCAGGCTCAACTCCTCGAGCTCACAGTTGTATGTAGTGTACGTCTTCGTAGAGTACCAGGCTCCTTCGCCCTTCGGCTCTGCTGTAAAAGACCAGACACTACCACGCTTCACCATTGAATTCACACCGCATTTGAACGTGTTAGCCATGACCCAACAATCTCTCGCTGCTAACGGCTTCTCCCTGGAGGACTTCGTCGTGTCCCTCCAGCCCAGAAATCCTTCCTCGATGTGCAAGGTCTCCTCCCAGGCCCGACAGCTGAAGCCTTGGAACACGGTCCGGGCTTTATCTTCAGTATAGATGTCATACTTGACCGGGGTGAACTTGACGGACGACATGTTGGTCCGGCATTGCTCGTAACGCTCAAAACTTACGACACCGACCTGTCGTGGTGAAGAGCAGTCGCAGACAGCCACCTCCAGTGCTGCGACTAAGGGCATAAACAACAACACCAACAGCAGCAAGCCGTAAAAGTGCTTGTATGAGCATGGGTCATACCGGTCCGGGGCCCTGCGCTCACGACCCGAACGCTGCTGTTCCGTTTCCGAGTTTTCCCGAGTCACCGGCGCGAGCATCTCCGCCTCCGCCGTTGTCACTACCTCAGTCATCACAGGGGCCTGTACCGCTGGCACCACAGGGGCCGCAATTTCAGGGGCGCCCGCCAGGGTGGTAGACGGCTCCTCTTCCGCCACCGTGTCTGTGATCTCGGCGTGGTCCACCAGTTGCTTGGGACGCGCGACAGGAATCCATCCTTCGCCGTCCTCATCCTCGGAGTCAACGAACATCTCGTTGCGATCCTTGAACAACTTTATCTTTGACACGTGGGTAACGAAAACGTTCCTTCGCTTCCGGATCCCGCAAGTTTCCACTTCGTAATTCACGGGCGACGTTTGCCTAAGCACTCGGTAGGGCCCATAAAAACGACTCAGTAATTTGGTCGCCTTACCGCGCTTTCCGGCAGGGTTGAACACCAAAACGTAATCCCCGTCTTTGTACGTCACTTCCGGGTGATCGTCGTGGGCGTGGAGGTAGTTCTGCTTCCCCTCAATGCGCGCATTCGCCTTTGCATGAAGCGCCTCCATCCGCTCTCCGACATCATACACGAACGCATCCGCCACCGTTGGAAAGGCGATGTCGACCGACAGCGTCGGCTCCCTTCCGTACAGCAGCTTGAATGGCGATTCTTTCGTCGTGTCGTGCTTACTGGTGTTAGTCGCGAACACCACGAACGGCAGCACCTCGTCCCAGGTGCGCTGCTCAGCGTCTATGAACTTCGACATCATATGCGCCAGCGTCTGATTGTACCTTTCGCACGAGCCGTTGGTTTGTGGCATATATCCGCTTGTCGTAACGCGCTTCACTTCCAGTACCTTGTAAAGGTCACTTGTCAGCTGATTGACAAACGGTGTCCCCTGATCGCTCAAGATCCTCAAGGGAAACGAATGCTGCAGAAACACTTCAAAAACCAAGAATTTCGCCACTGTCATCGCACTCTGCACCGGAAATGCGCCTGCCAATACATATTTAGTGAAAAGGTCAGTCACTACCAATATATATTGGTTTCCACGCTTGGATCTGGGCAACGGCCCCAGAAAATCCATGGCTAACATCTCGAACGGCCGCTCCGGACAGAACGACTGGATCGGTCCGGCCGCCTTCGTCGTCAACCGGTTCCGCGCCTGGCACGGTGCACAAGACGCCACATACTGCTCCGTAAAGTTGATCGCTTGAGGCCAGAAGAACCGCTTCCGCACTCGGTCCCAGGTCCGCAAAACCGAGATGTCCTCCCATCGGGTCATCGTGGCAGAACGCCAGTACCTCAAAACGTAACGCTTTCGGAACGGCTAGCAGTAAATGTTTTTCACCTTGACTCTTCCACTCGCGACAGAGCAACCTGTCCTTCACGGCGTACACCTTCTGAACGCTCTTGACCGAGTCCATCTGCTCCATCACCTCCTGAATCCAAGGGTCATTGGACTGTGCATCCAACATTGCTTGCGTAGGTGGGGCCCGTCTCCTCACGTACCGCCATCACCGCCAACACACCGGTCTCCGTAGCCGGTGGGTATCGAGACAGACAGTCTCCATCGGCATGCTTCGCTCCGCTCTTGTGTCGAATCACCAGATCGAACTCTTGGAGTCGAAGTGCCCAACGGACCAAGCGACCACTGGGAGACTGAATGTTCACCAACCAACACAAACTATGATGGTCAGTGATGACCGTCACAACCCGACCTAACAGATAGTAACGAAACTTATCTGCGGTCCAGACGATTCCCAAACACTCCCGCTCCGTGGTGCTGTAGTTCCGCTCCGCGGCGTTCAAGCGGCGGCTCCCATAAGCCAGCACACGCAAGACACCGTCGCAATCCTGCTGCAGAATGACCACTCCGATGGCGTATCCACTGGCGTCCGGGTGGATCTCCACCGGTCGCGATACGTCAAAGTGTCCAAGCACCGGCGACGAGACGAGACAGTTCTTCAACGCCTCGAATGCCCCCTCCTGCAGCTGCTCCCAAACGAACGGCACGTCCTTCTTCGTCAGCTCGTACAGCGGACAGGCCAGCGCCGCGTAGTCTTTGATGAAGCGCCGGTATAACCCGGTTAAACCGAGAAACGCACGTACGGCTTTAAGATTTGCGGGAACCGGGAAATCGGTAATGGCACGTACCTTTTCAGGGTCGGCCACCACGCCTTCCCGCGTCACCGTAAATCCCAGTACGTTGACTGTCGCTTTAGAAAGTGACACTTCTCCGGTTTGAACATTAACTCGATCTCCCGACATCGAGAAAACAGCGCCTCAATACTTCTTCATGCTCCTCCAACGTAAACGTCGCGATGATCACATCATCCAGGTAGACCGCCACGACGCCCCGCACGATGAGGTCCCCCACGATTGTTGTCATGGTACGCTGGAAGTACGATGGAGCGTTCTTGAGCCCAAAGCACAGTACCTCGTACTCGTAGAACCCCATTGGCGACTGGAAGGCTGTCAACGGCTTCGACTCCTCCGCTAATGGCATCTGCCAGTAACCGGATACCAAGTCCAACGTGGAGATATACCGTTTGCCAGACAACGCCTGCAAACAATCGTCCACACGCGGCAGAGGGTACTTATCAGAAATCGTTATACTGTTAACACCCCTGACGTCATTGCACAAGCGCCAGCTACGCCCATGATCCTTCCGCGCTAAGACAATCGGACTAGAACAGTCACTGCGGGACGGTCTAATCACCCCTTGTCAATCATAGCGCTAATTTGCCGGTTAATCTCCTCGACTTCCGGCGGTGCATACCGGTACTGATTCGAAACTTCGGCTTCGTACCCGGCATCAGGTCAATACGGAACGGCTCTACCTTAGCCTGACCCATCTACGGCCCTCAGTATGAAAAAGGTCACCGTACTTCTCAATCAACTTAGTTATCCGACTCACCCCGTCGGTCGTATCAGCGTCTCCAATGTCAAAATCCGAAACGGGACGGCGTGGCCAATCGTACTCCCACATCGCCAGCTCATCCTCCGGTACATCCGGATCGCCATACTTCATAAGCTGATTCACTCGTGGCGTCGTCAGCATGGATCCCTGATCCGCGGTCATCCGGCGCACAGGGCCGCCGGCATCATGACCGCATCCCGGGCGTGGCCGCAGGTATCCGTCACCACCGTGTCACTACATCCCCCATGCGTGACCGTGGTACCATCCTGTCCCAAGAGCGCCGCATTGCACACATCCACCAGCCATCCGGGTTGGCGCAGGAAGTTGCATCCCAGTACGCACTCGTATCCTCGTTGCTGACATTGTCAAAACACAAAAAGCCACCGGCAGCTTCTGGTTTGCTACCGCAATATCGAGTACGATCTTACTCGTTGTACGGATCGTTCCACAGGCATCATCAGTGGATCCGGCATGACATCCAGCTTCCTCTCCAGGAAGCCCCGGTTCACAACGGAGAGGTTGGCACCAGTGTCCACCAAGGCACGTGCAGCCTGTCCATTCAAGGTCACATCCACGCACATGTGCGTTCCGAGCACAGCGTGACGACCTTCGCACCCATCGCCAGACGTACGCATCATCGTGTACAGAGGGCGCTTTCGTGGAATCTTTTCCCACAATCCGAAGGAGTCCTTGCAATCTCATACTTGTATGGTAAAATCACCGTCCCGAAGCGGACGCAACGTCTTACCGCAATGAAATTGACATCACATCGATCAATTCATGCATCTTCCGCTTTGACTAGCAGTAAATTATTAGCTTGCACCGACACTGACTGTACTGACCGTTTGTATGCCGGCGTCCGTTTGCGTGCTTGCATGCCGTGCGTCTCCGTTACTGAAGCGTGCTGTCAGCTGATCCACGCCGATTACGCGGTTCACATACTGAGTCGGCATAAATGCTGATGGTATCGGACTCATCGGTTGACTGACCTTCGTCCTCCATTTCGGCCTGGTACACGCGCAGCTCATGCGCCGCAGTAGTGTCCAAAGGTCGGCTTCGGAATGGCGTGCATTCAATACAGCCAGGACACGTACCTGCTGACAACGCAACCGGGTATCCGTCTATCATACGGTACACATACCCGCACGCCGTTGCCCCATACGCCGCACAGCCGGCATCCGCCCCGGACATAGCGGCCAGCGTGGCTGCCGCTTCCAGTGTCTGGTCGTCCGTGCCTGTACGGTCCAATGCGCTTCCGCGCATCATCCGGAGTCCCGCCCTCGGCGCAGCTCCTTGGCATCTTTTAGCCCGCTTCGGACAATCCCGAAGCAAAGTGATCCGTTGATCCGCAGTTCCAGCAGGACTTATCTTTACGTGGTGTGGTCAATGCGTTTCCGGTTCGTGCCGGTTTCGATGCGTCGCTGTGGTTGGAATCAGCAGCGGTTAACTTAGAATGAAATTCTGGCTTACCGCCACTTCGACGGAAATGGTTGTTGGCACGCTGATCCGCCGCCTGCTGTCGCTGGTTGGCTTGCTCCTCTCGCCGCAAGGACTGCGCCGCCTTCTGCAGGTCCGCGAAGAATCCTGAGGCGTCTTGGCTGCGGAGGTGACTAGCATCTTGTCGATCTCCGGGTAAAGTCCGTTCCGCAGCTTCAGCAGGACATCCAAATCGTCCATTTTGGTGTCGTATTCGTAACATAGGTCAACCATGTCGTTATAATAGTCTTCAACGGATTCGTTCTTTTGTAACTTACGTTGACTGATCTTCAGCTTCAACTGCAACTTCCAATCTTCCGTGAGGAAGCGTGCCAGGAGGGCGTCCTTGAAGGCCTTCCACGTCGTGTAGGGCTTCATCCCGTCCTCCGACACGTTGTTGTACCACTGACCCGCGTGGCCAGTCAAGTACACAGGGACTTGCGTCAGTTGCTTCGCATCGTCCCACTCCAACGCCTGCGCAACCGTCCGGAACCTACGAACCCACTGCGCAACGTTCTCACCGGCTTTCCCGGTGAACACCGGCGGTCGCACGTCCGTCGCCACGGCTAGCGATCCCATCACGTCCGCCAACTCCTCGGGCATTCACAGAGAATGCCGGAGCCTGCCGTCCACCTGATACGTCCGGCTTCGACATCGTAGTTTCCCAGTCGGCAAGTCGTCCACAACCGGTTTATCTTCGTCGTCAGAAAATAAGTTGCCCAGGAGTCAATCTCCCCTTTACTGACATAAGACTACCACCACGAAACGAACGTACTAAAGGTCACGGTATCAAAAGGTTTTCGGCACCAAATGTTACGCTTACACTATCCGTAAGGCGTAATGAATATCGGGTTTTAGCCACTTTAATAATACTCAGCTAAGAACTAACAAATAACAAGTAAACATGAGCTTATATAACGGCCTAAGCCGGAAATAACAGGACATCCAGGAAACGACCTAATATCAGACAATCACTCATTGTCAGTACATCTGGCTCACAAGGGCATGAGAAAGGCAAAAACATGGACTATGACCATAGAATAAACGCACACATGACCATAGGTACATGACCATAGGGAAAAACATATATGACCATAGGTTACATTACTACATGAGTAATCCGGTTATGTAACAAGATGACCACTATTTTGCTGAGCGAGTAAAATCTCGAAAGATTGAACCGAGTTCTTTATATTTTTGAATCGATGGCAGTGGCAAAACTGTCTGTCCAAAGATCAGCTACGTTAATACGGATTTCAGCTTATGATAACAGACAGAACTGTTTGTAAGCCAGTCATGGTATGTACCGTGACGTTGCTAATAGTGTGAATCTTTTGTAGCTGTTTAGAGCAACGTGGAATTACACCAAACGGTCGTATGGATGATAACGGTGTAGCAAAAAATCGGATTACGTTCATACATGGGATTAGAAGGACGAATTGTTTTGCACGTCAACGGTAATTATCGTGAGATCAGAAACAGTTTGAACCGCTTTTAACTACCTAGAGCAACGTAGAATCGCACCGAACAATCGTATGGAAGAGGATGGTATAGCACAAAACCGGATTTTGTTCAAACATGTGATTGCGAAAAGAATTGTTCAGTGGCGCCAACGGATGTATATCGCGTGCTTGCAAATGATGTGTCCTGTTTGTGGCCAGCTAGGCCAGCACGAAACAGCTCCATTCTTCATGATGGAATGTTCTAGAACTGACCAGCTAATATCCATGGAAATATATGACCGTTATTGTATGATATCATATTCAAGCCCGCTTATCTACGGTCGTAGATTGAATTGCTTACTTTTGTTACTTAAATTAAGCCAAATAAATTTTCAGTCATTTCATTCGATTTAATTTTTCAGCCTTTTTACCAGATTTTTAAAGGCTATAGTCAGGTTTTTTCCAAAAAAATGACTTTTTTTAAAGGTTGTTCAGATGACCACTATTTTGCTGAGCGAGTAAAATCTCGAAAGATTGAACCGAGTTCTTTATATTTTTGAATCGATGGCAGTGGCAAAACTGTCTGTCCAAAGATCAGTTACGTTAATACGGATTTCAGCTTATGATAACAGACAGAACTGTTTGTAAGCCAGTCACGG